TATATATATATATATATATATATATTAAGAAACCTGCATAAGAATAGTATAACTTTTGATTAAGAAACTCATTCTTCTTTTGGTCTAATAATTTACCACCTTTTCTCACTTTCTTAACACTACAAAACAGTATGGATAGAATCCTATTTTTTTGGCTTCTCTTTAGTGCTCTACTATGGTCTTCATTTCATTAGAGGAGATTCCCTTTCTATTAGGCAAACAACTTTTTCATTTCTCTTGTATGACTATGTAGGTTGTTCCTTTCAGTGCTAGAAAGACTATTGGTGGATCACCTGAAGGCATTGCTCCATTTCTACAATTGTCACATATTAGTGAGACTACTATTAAGAAGGTGACCCAAAAGGTATGTCTAAATTATACATGACTTTGTCATCTAATTGTTAATGACATACTATATCATAGTCTTAATTCTATATCACCAAATGACATACTCTTCTCAACTCTTATTCCCTTAAAAATTCCACTTATTACTAATATAACTAATAGACCTATCAAATAATTGTGGCCATGACAGGCAAAAGTCTGTATACCTCTTTTCTATAGTGTTGAGCAAAGTGTATTTTAGGGATTGATCTTGGCATATTAAATAAATGTTAGATGTGGCATATTAACTATATCACGCATTTGATGTAGAATGGATCGTAGTTGGATGAATTCTAAAAGAATTACCAATGAGTATCAAAATGGGGTTGAACAATTTTTGGAATTTGCTCAACGAAATCAAGCAGATTTGAATGGGAAGTTTTATTGTCCTTGTGTTAACTGTTTAAATGGGAGGCGACGTACAATTGATGAAATACGGGACCGTCTTATCTGTGATGGGTTTCTAACGAGTTATACAACATGGATATGGCATGGTCAACATAAAGAGATACAAACAATGTCTCAAACTCAGCACGATGATGAAGTAATGAATGATTAAAAAGAGGACATGATTCGTGACGTGGTACAAGAGTCTTTTCAGCAAGCACATTCACATGTGTATGATGATTTAAAAAGTGACTTAGAAAATTACAATAATAATATTCTTATCCAATTAGGTGAGATTAGAAAATGAATAACACAATCTTATGGCTTAATAAAAATCAAATTCTCCATAATATTATTCTTAACGATTCTTTTTAATAATTTTCTCAATTTTTTCTTGGTCTCCCTCAACATTTTGTCATAGGTTTAAAAATCATGTGATATAGTATCTTTAGTGGCCTTCTTTACTCCTGTCCAAATTATGTTACTTTTTTTGTGATCTTCTTCCTGATAGGTATCACATTAATACCATTTTGCATGCAATCATTATATATACACATTTTTTTTGTCATATATTCATCTTAAACTATTTTTAATGTTATTTCTATTTTTTTCCTTTCAAAACCCATTTATTAATTACTAAAGTACAAGTAATCACACACTTAAAGTCTCTTTGGATACAAGTTTAAAAATATTTTTCAAATTTGTTTTATTAAAAAATATTCTTTATTTTTAATAAATAAACTTTTAAAATATTTTTAACTTATATCCAAACAAATTCTTAGACAATAAAATAATTTTTTGAGCCTAGTAGGTGTCTTATATATGGTTAAAAATATTTTTAAGTTGTATCCAAATAAATTCTTAAACGATAAAATAACGTTTTACATCTTTCTTTGTTTTAACTACCATCATGTGAGTGACATATTCATTATTTTTCATATCATTTTGTAATACTAATGTCAAATACTTAAACTTAGAAGCGTGTTGTATGAGTCTACTTAAATTTTCATCTTCAAATCATTTTCCTATTTTTTTTCCTTTCTAAAAACGCAATGCATATATTTTTGTCTTTTCTTGTTTAAGTGAAAATCTTTTGATTCTAAAGTGCCTCTTCGATTCTCAATTTTTGAGTTAATTTTTTCCTCTTATTTCTTCGATTAGGACTAATCATTTGCCAAAAAATAATAATAATTAGGAATAATCTTTTTTATGTTCTTAATGAACACATCTGATTTACTAGATTAAACAAGTAAAAACTTAAGTTTAATTTATGATACGATCCTATTGTTAAAAAAAATCCTAGTCTCACCTCCTGGAGTTCTCACATTGATGGTGATCCTATTATGCATATGTCTCTCATTTAGCCCAGACATAAGTCATGAGACCATATCACCTTTTCAAAATCTCTTATAACCCTTCTTTGGACACTTGATCATATAATTTTTTTTTTCAAGTCAATAAAAGTATGCAATATGCATAAATCTCTTTCTCTGTTTCAATATTTTTCCATCAACTCACGTAGAAGATAAATAACTTATGTTGTAGATTTTTTTTTTTTTTTTGCATAAAAAATTCAAATTGATTCTCCGTAGTCATGATATCTTCTCTTAATCCACACCTAGCCACATTTATCTATAATTTCTTATTGTAACTTGAAAATTTTATATCCCTTTGTAGTTTACACAATTTTAAATATCTCCCTTTTTATATATAGGAATCAACAAGCTTTCCTCTCCTCTAATATGACTTCTTTAGATATCAAAATCTCTTTTAAATAACTTGATGTGTCAAATGATATCATATTTTTCTACACATTTACAAACTTAAATAGAAATATTATCAGAATCGATAACTTTATACGTTCTATTACCCTTTCATTTATTTATGGACTTCTTTTACCCCTTCAACTCGAATTTTATAATTGCAAGTATTGTTCGTCCTCTTAAACTTCTAATCTTTTCACATTAATATAGGTCGATCTTTCATTAATATCTTATAAAAATAGTTTTCTTATTTCTCTTTGATATTCTCGTTTGTAACTAAAACTATTATTTTTTTATTCTTAATACATCTTCATTCTTCATTATTCGTTTCAAGATCTCAGTAAAGCTTATATATGTTTTGGATTGTACCTTACAACTTTCCTTGTATCATTCATATATTTGTTTAATATCGTCAAACTTTTAGCATTATTGCACACCCATTACGTGAAGCGAGAAAAAGGGATCGTCCACTCATAAATAAGTGATAAAAATAAATTCCTTCATTTCTTGTTTCTTATTTTTACCAATCTAAATAATAATATATCCTTTTTTTTTTATATTTTTCTCTTATTTCTTTCGGAACCACGTGAGAATTCTTGCGAGCATTGTAAAATGTAAACATAGGAAACAGTGTGAAATGAATATGCTTATTTGATGTGTGGTAATTAGTTATGGGCATATGACAAAGAGGCAGCACGTTGTTTCCACCAATGTTTTTTTAGAAACCATCTAAATGAGATTGTCATAACATTTAAGTACTAGATATTTTTCGGATAAAACGATGTAGGACCCTCCATTTTTATTATTTGTTGATAGATAGATACACTTGCAACCTGGAATTTTCCGCTTCTAAAATCGGTGAATGTTGTTGTCCAGGTCCAAGGCATTTTACTACCAACCAAAGCCATTCGATTCTGTTCAAATCCCTTAACTGTCATCATTTAAAAAAAAAAAATTACTTTCTAAGAGTTATTTTATTTTCATAACATAATATGCTCTCTAGACGTATTTTTCTATCTCTCTTTTTATCACTATCTTTCACATCACACATGTTATTTCAATTCCTCTTTATTCTCTTTTTCTACATATCTTCAAATTATAAAAATTAAAAAATATATATTAGAAAAAGTTTCTCATTATTCTTTTTTCTTTTAATGTCTTTTTCTAATTTTTTCCATCCTTAAACAAAATGTCATGATCAGCATAGCAAGATATGTAAAATTTTTATGTTGTAGATATAATAAATATATTAATTTGTGAGACAATACTTATATCGTAGATTAACTTTTTTTACTACATTTTAAATATGTTGTAATTAGAAAAAAGTAAAAAAGGTTGTAATGACGGCTACACCTCCAACCATGTAATTTGGAAAATGTTGAAAAAGATAATGATATGTGAATATTTACACAACTGTTTATCCATTCTCTATTGAAAATAAATCCATTCTCTATTTAATAATAAATAAAATATCATGAAAAAATAATCTTAAAAAAAGAGTGTTTTAATTACTAAACGTTTGAGGAATTTATAAAACATTTTTTTGACTAATTTATATATTTGAGTAAAATAAACTTATTGACACAATTATTTATTTTAAAAGATTTAATTTATTTTATAACAAGGACTTAATTTTATTTTTTATTTTACCTTAATTAGTTTGTTTGAAAACTCTTTTTTTATTTATTTTAATTTATAGTTTTTTTTATCTATTTTGTCATTCACTTACTCTCATCATACAATTAAATAGTTGTTTTATATCATTTTATATTTATCAATTAGTTTATAAGTTATTCTTATTAAACACTTTTACTTCATTAATTAGTTTATGATTTCTAACTTTTTCCTCTTAATTTATAATAACTTATAAACGTTCAACTATCTAATAACTTGTTTTATATAGAAGTAATAAATGAATGAGTTGGATAATTTTTTTAGAAGAATCATCATTAATATTGATCGGATAAAAATAATGCATCAATTTATTTAATTAAATTTATTAAAAAAATTTAATTAAAAATCTAATTTATTTTTTAAAAAAGAAAAATATAATTCATCTATTAACAATTTTTTTATGGATGAATATTCAATCTATTTAGAAAAAATAATATTTTAAAAATTAAATAATTTTTTAAAATATTTTATTTCTCTATCCTTTCTTTATAAGTTATTGTATTTTTATATAATCTTTCAAAACTTGCAATATTTTTTTGTCAAAATAGTATTTTAAAATCTCAACCCCATAAAATATAATATCGTAATCTAATAGATTTTGAAAAAATAGTGAATGAATCACAAACCATCCATAAAATTAAATTAATGAATTGAATTCGAACCATTAAGTAATTTTATTATAATGGATAAATTAAATAAATTTACTTGTATATGAATTAGATGGATGATGAATAAATAAATTCTTTTGTTACATCTAGTTTTATCAAAAACACCCAAAATATATTATTAACTTCTGTACAACTATATAACTCATTACAAGAAATGTTACATATAATGATATGTGAAAATTATAACTATAGATAACATGTATAAATAAATCTATTTTATATATAGTTACATATAATTTTAATGTTGTGTGTTCATAAATGTCATTTTTTTTTGTAGTAGCTTGAAAAAGGATATGCAAACATTTATTATTATAAATATCTTATTAACACCGGTTATTTCTCTTTTCTTACTGCATCATATGCTTATGATATTTATATTTTATATATTGTCTCTTAATTTATCTCTCTGGCTGTCGATTAGCATACGCCATACGATAGAGTTTTTGTTTTATTTTTAGTAATAAGATTCACACAGTAGAATTGAATGTATATATAGAGAGAGATTGGTCTTCCCCTGCTGCCATTCTATTTTCTCCTGTTCGCTTTCTTTTGAATCGACTTAATTTCTAGAGGTTTCTTCTATCATATTTTTGATGATGCAGGAAAAGTCTGAGGCTGTTGATGTGAAAGAGGAAGTAGAGTTTCAGCTGGTTGATGAAAATAAAGTGGATTGGAAAGGAAGACGAGCTCTTAAATTCAAATATGGCGGGATTACTGCTTCTTTGTTCATACTAGGTAATCAACAATATTATTAATTAACTCACTAGGGTTTATATTATATGGACCTTTTTTGCTACCAAAAAAATAAAAATATTATGGACCTTTTTCCTTCTTATAGTGAGTGCATGATGACAAGAAAGATCATTAACCAAAGTAAAATTAAGGTGGATTTGAATTTGTCATATGATGGTGAATGATGAACTTGAGTTTGGGTGCAGCTATGCTTAAATTCGAGACATTGGGAACATTTTCTCTAGTTGTGAACTCAGTGCCATACTTCAATGGAATAATGCATTATAGTGTACCGGATGCAGCTAACATGCTGACCAACTTCATGGGTACTAGTTACATACTCGCCATTCCTGTGGCTATCGTTGCTGACACATGGATTGGCAGATATACAACTGTTTTATTTGCTGCCTTCTTTGAGTTTCTAGTAAGCTATACCTTCAAAACTTCCTTATCTTCATAAATTTCTCTAGAAACTAGTTAAATGCACAAGCTTATTTCTATCTTTTTTATATTCTTTTTTCTTTCTAAAAGTCTTTATAAACAAATTTATATAAAAAAAACTCCTAATTTGTACATATTCATCATTTAACTATGTGCTATTCACAACAACTTATATTTCATCAACCTCTAAAAACAATAGTCATGTAATCACATACACTTTATAATAATATATATTTATCACTAAAAATTATTTTTACCTATATTATAGATATAACATATATTAATATATTGTTAAAAAGTATAAGTATAGATTATAGTTATATGTAATATATATATATATATATATAAATTAAAAATATTTCCTATTATTGAAATGAACTCCAATTCTAAAAGTTTACGTGATTTAGTAATTAAAAAAAGTTTGACACGTGTCTAATAATGTTCCCAAAATATAAACTCGTATAGTTGATGAGAAATAATAATTGGTAAGGAGATATAATTCACTACAAAAGAAATTGTGATACACTCTATCTATGATAATACAATATTTGTTACTAAAAATTAATTTTATTCATACTAAAAATATAATATATGTTGGTATATTGTTAAAAAATATAGATATAAATCATAGTGACACGCAATATATATGTTGTTATATCTCATTCAAAATTAATACTAAAATTGTATGTAATAATGTTTCAAATAAATTTATATTTATATATATTATACTTATAATAATTTTTTTTATATATTATTATATATAAAAAAAATTGTACTGAGGATTTTCGGTGGTATATTTTTATGTTATTCAACTGATTACTTATTTTAATTGAAAAGTTGATGGAGAAGATTTTTTTATTTTATTTTTATGACAACATATTTTTTATTCTTGAATATATAAGCCATTCCATACATGTATAGTATTTACAAGAACTAATCACCATAGATAGTCCATATATATATATATATATATATAAGGAAAAAGGGAGAAAAAAACTCATGATTTTCTTATAAATAGTATCGTGTATAGATGTTATTAGTGTCAAAACTCCAAACAGAGTGCAGAATTTTATGGCTTGTTTAAAGAACGAAAAATGCCTTGAAGCTGACAACTTTAAATAATTCTTATTGTATACTATGCTGTTTTTCTTTTTCTACGCACAGCTGTACAGAATAAAACAACTTCGACATGTGAGATTTAAAATTAGGATTGTTTTTATTAACTTTTTTATGAATAATTTATATGTTTTTTTCTATGATATTTGAGATTTCTTTTTCATATTTTATGATAAACATTTTAAAAAACACATATCGTCAATATAAAAAAAAAATATAAAAAACTTGGGTTGGTTCAAATTTGTTGATTATTTTTTTAAAATCCAAATTAAACTTTTGTTGTAATTGGTTCAAATTTATTTCATCTAAAATCAAATCATTGCTACCCGTGTACATCCCATTGGATTAGGCATAATTAACCAAAACGATATTTATCACTAAAATAAAAAAGAACATTAATTAGCAAATTTAGGGCTTGGGAGATGCCTCCGCTTTCCATCGACTAAATCACCCTATATATATATATACATATATATATATACATATATATATATATACATAATATATATATATATATATATATATCGTACTGGTACAAAAAAATATATATATATAAGTACATTGTCACACGCAATAATAAATTTCTGTTTTGACTTACACAAGTAATTAAAAAAATAATTTAAATATTAAATTGTTGTTTAATTTCAACAAAGTCTTATCAAGATGAATAATTTAAAAAATAAAGAAATATATCTGATTGTGACTTTATGTTCCAAATGAACATTAAATCTCCGTTCTTAATTAAGAAAAATAAGCGTTAGATTCTTTTGTACTAACATTTTTTAGTTAATGTATACAATACACAATCAAAATAAAGGGAATATAGTTTGTATCTAAAAATCATGTTAAAAATACAAGTCATTTTAAGTGAATGTTCATATATTTGATTTTAGGTTGAAGAATTTATTTTTAGTAATAATGTATAATTTATGATATCATTAATGTTATTTGTAAGCCTATTAATATGTTGATGATTGTTTCAAATTTCGGTTGTAGAAACTTACATCTAGTTAAAAATTTAAAGCGCGTTTGAATAAGTTAATTAAAATTATTTTTGAGAATTTTTTTATTAAAAAAATATCTTTATTTTGAATAGAAAATTTCTAAAAGTAAAAGTTTTTTAAATATGTAGTTAATTAAATTTCTGCAAGAGAAATGATACTTAAACATAATCTTAGGTGTGAATTTATTGAGTACAAGTTGATGATGTTGCAGGGACTTGTTTTGCTTACAGCACAAGCACACTATCCAAGCCTTAAGCCACCCTTTTGCCCCAACGTTTATGCTGGCTGTGAAAAACCAAATGGTGGCCAAGAAGCTTTACTCTACATTGGCCTATACTTGTTGGCATTTGGCAGTGCTGGAGTGAAAGCAGCACTACCATCACACGGTGCAGATCAGTTTGATGAAACGGACCCTCAGGAATCAACCCAAATGTCCACCTTCTTCAACACTCTCTTGCTTGCTATTTGCTTGGGTGGTGCAATCAGCTTAACCTTCATTGTGTGGATACAAACCAACAAGGGATGGGATTGGGGCTTTGGTATTGGTGCCATTGCTATAATTTTGGGTATCTTGGTCTTTGCAGCTGGATTCCCACTATACAGATTTCGTGTTCGTCAACAAACTAATGCTTTCATTGAGATCATACAGGTTTGCAAAACAATAACAACCTCTATCTATATCTTGAACTAAGATTTTGACCATAGGTTATATTTTCATAAAATAAATTCTAGTGCTTATACAACCAATTCTCATCACCATGACATTGCACGTGATGTCATATTACTTGAAAACTATAAAGTTTTACATGGGATAAATAAAGAGAAGCAAAAGTGTACATAAACATGGAGGAGTTGAGTATAATGTTTTGAATTTTTTAGAGAATAATACACTTCCATGTTTGATACAAATTGGAGATTTATTTTGTGGCTGTGTTGTATATCATAGTTCAATACGGTATTAGAGTATAAATGAATAACAATGTGCATAGTATAAGTGAAAAAAAATTGACATTATGCTACCTAACTTTTAAATCTTCACATTTTGTTATCAATTTTAAAATTTTGTACATTTTTCTTCTTTCTTAATTGATTGTCTCATGCTATTAGTTGATAGTTAATGTGATATTTTAAGAATCATATTGTATTGGTCAAGCTGTTTGTGTTTATTTTGGTTCATGCATTTTTCAGGTCTACGTTGCTGCAATCCACAATAGAAATCTTCCTCTTCCTGAAGATCCAACAGAACTATACGAGATTGAACAGGATAAGGAAGCTGCTGAGGAAATAGAGTTTCTACCTCATAAAGACATTCTCAGGTTCAATTAATCCCACTCTTGTTTCTAACACACATAATTGTATGTCACTTGGTCATAACATACATAATTTCACAGGTTCTTAGACAGAGCAGCAATCCAAATAAATCATGGTGTGCAATCTGATCAATCACCAAACCCATGGAAACTTTGCAGGGTTACCCAAGTAGAAAATGCCAAAATTGTTCTTGGCATGACCCCAATATTCTGTTGCACAATTATAATGACCCTTTGCCTAGCTCAGCTCCAAACCTTTTCAATCGCACAAGGCTACACCATGGACAACACTTTCACCAAGCATTTTAAGATCCCACCCGCATCCCTCCCAATCATACCAATTATGTTCCTAATCATCATTGTCCCCATCTATGATCGCATTTTTGTACCAGTTATGCGCAAAATCACTGGCATTCCCACAGGCGTCACACACTTGCAACGCATAGGAGTTGGTCTAGTACTCTCTTGCATATCCATGGCTGTGGCTTCAATTATAGAGGTGAAAAGGAAGAGAGTGGCCAGAGACAACAACATGCTTGATAATGTGCCAATAGTTATGCCACCATTGCCCATAAGCACATTTTGGCTCTCTTTTCAGTACTTTATATTTGGCATAGCTGACATGTTTACCTATGTGGGGCTTCTTCAGTTTTTCTATTCAGAGGCACCAAAGGGGCTTAAATCTACTGCAACATGCTTCCTTTGGAGCTCAATGGCACTTGGGTATTTTGCTAGTACCATAGTGGTAAAAAGTGTGAATGGAGCCACCAAGCATAACACTAGAAGTGGGGGCTGGTTAGCAGGGAACAATATTAACAGAAACCATCTAAATTTGTTCTACTTGTTCCTTTCCATAGTGAGCTTGATCAACTTCTTTATCTACTTGTTAGTTTCAATGAGGTACAAGTACAGGTCTCAAAGCCTTAATCCAGTCCCTGATGGCAAATCAAAGAAGTAAATATGGGGAAGAAAAAAGAGGCAATGGCTCTATTGCGGGTTTGTTTGACAAAACAGAGAACTATGGTCATTTCTTTTCTTCATAATTTGGATTGCATAGTCTCAGACTTTCATTATGTGTAAATTATGTTCCCCATGCCTCTAGGCATAACTGATTTTCATTTTGCTTTTCTTTTTAGACTCACCTTTATCTCTTTCTGTATAACATCTTACCTTCGCACGCGCGGCTGATCATATCAATTACTATACATGATATGCATCAGAAAGACGCTCCTTTTTTTGGTACATGAGAATAACTACTTTATTGTTCCTGTGCATTACAAAGAGAAAAATTCATAATTGTAAAAGTATTTAGTATACTTGGATCTCATCAACTAATAACACATCTTAAAAAATAATATATACCTTGGAGCTTTCTATGAATTAAATTAAAAATATTATCTAATCAACAATAATTAATAGGATAAAACATTGAATGTTATAAAGTTTTAATTTTAAATTGGAAAATAACACCAAATAACTATGTATATAAACTTTATCGTAATTAATATAATTTAACAACACTATATATGTGATATCATAATCTTATCTTTAGATATTTAATTCTTGGTTGGTATGCATGTAAAAAAAATTGTTAGGAAAAGTCAATCCTATAAATAAACTTCATATATTCTTCAAAATAAAATACTCAAATAAGTATTTAATGAAATTGAAATTTTAATTAATCTTAAGAGTAAAACTTATTACAAGTGCCAATAAGTTTTGACTTTATATATGTAATCAAAAAATATCATTAAAATGTAGTTCTAATTTAAGAATAACACCAATAATGTCTACTATGATAATGTATTTAAGTTTTGTTCTATTCTTAATATTCAATTTATTTTATTTAAAAAAAAATGTTTATGTATCTTCTATCAACTACATTCTATGCTCTTTTTGACATTAGTGCTAAAAAGACCCGTTTATGTATCTTCTAATTAAGAACAACATCAACGATGTCTACTATGACCTTAGTTCTAAAAGGGACTCTTTTTGACAAATTCAAATGAAATAGAACACTATTGTCGGGGATTTTCTTTAAGTAAGGCTTTATATTTCGTGTATAATTTTTTTTAAAACTGATATCTTATGACATTATGGATATTTTTTATTTAAAAAAAATTAAATTTTATAATAAAAATAGAAGAAAGAAAAATATATGAGATAAAATAAATATGTAATAAAGAGATAATAATACGTAGAAAGTCTTATAAAATTTTTAAATTAAATTAACATTACCAAACAAAAAAAAAATGAAAGAGAGGAGCATAGAGTTTGTGAAGTCGAACAGCCGTTTTGAAAAATTGTATTCCTTCGTTCCCTTATCATAGAATCCAAATTTTTAAATTGGTCTAGTTATTTAATTCATTTTTATCATATTTAATCTATTATGTCTTAAGTATTAATTTTTATTTTACAAAAATATCCCCATTAAAAGGAAACAGGTTGAACCCAGAATTTTTTACTGAAATATTATTTTTTAAAAAAAATTTACCTAAAAAAACATCTAATCTAATTTATTTACATCACTAGCACCCTTTACTGTTTACGTTCAGAACGAGTCGTTCGAGATACAAAAATAATACATGACGAATGGATCATAATGGGTCGTTCTAATATCAGAGTGGACCATTCCAGATTCAAAATTAGCACATGATTAGTAAAACCAGAACGAGCCGTTTTGAATCTGGAACGGACCGTTCTGACCACTTCTGATGGGCCAACATATGAAACAATAGATGAGATTACACATTGATGAGTCATCCAATGCAAGGCTCATTGTTTCAAACATAAGAATACATAGAATAGTACATAGCCAATTCCATCTATTTCCTATATGTGCCACGACTACTTGTTCACATCATAAAAATTAAAAAATATATTATTTTTATTAAAATTACATATTTATTTTTTATATAATACATATTTAAACTTGAAAATATTCATATATAAAGGACCTTATCTATTATATCACTTTAGATTCGATCGATCTTGATTGAAAGATTTTTTAAGTTTAATAAATAAGTAGAATTTATTTAGTATGTCTTTTAAATTACAAATAGTTTTTTATTCTTTTTTCGTAAAATAAAAGTGTCTCATTTTAATTTTGAAAAGAAGTAAAAATTTAAGATATATTTATTAATTTAAAAAAAATAATTTTCTTAATTTTGATGAATTAGTTATTTTAATAAAAAATACGAAGAGTAAGATTACCGTAAAATTTCTCTATTTAATTTCCGAGTAAGATAGGTAAATGGATCAGTTGACTTCTTCTGCCACATAGTTGTTCATGAGCTCCAACTACCAAATGTCAACAGAGTGCCCCTGTACTCTGCCACGTAAGCATCCATGCATGTCTACGTGTAACCTCAACCTCAACCCACGTTCTCTTTTCCTCCATCATCATCATGACTTTATAATAGACACACAACAAGTCATGGAGGAGAGACACCAGACTCTGAATAATGTCGTCCACCGACAAGTCACCGGAGCCAACGCCGGCGAGGGGTTCGGAGCCAACTCCGGGGAAGCCGATGGGGTTTGGACAGCACGTGATCGACAAGAGTGCGATGATGGTGCAGTCATTGGAACCCATAAAGCAGATGAGTCAGCACGTGTGCTCCTTCGCCATCTACAGCCATGACATGTCTCGCCAGATAGAGACCCATCATTACTGCTCTCGACTCCATGAGAATTTTATCCAATGCGCCGTCTATGATTCTGATCAACCCCACGCTCGTCTCCTTGGTCTTTCTTTCTTCTTCTTTGTTTCAACTTTCACAAAACTCAATGTGTTTTTTTTTTTTTTTTGGTTATTTTAATTTTTGGTTTTGGGGTGTGTGGTAGGTGTGGAGTACATCATTCCTCATGATTTGTTTGAAACTATGCCTCCGGAGGAGCAGAAACTTTGGCATTCTCATGCTTATGAGGTTCTTTCTTTGCTTTGCTTGCATGCATGTGTTTTTCTCGTGAAATATAGAAAGATATCTTGAAGGCTGATTTGTATATGGTGCAGATCAAATCAGGTCTCTGGGTGAATCCTAGAGTTCCTGAGATTATTGGGACGCCAGAGCTCGAAAATCTTGCCAAAACTTACGGAAAATTCTGGTGTACGTGGCAGGTTGACAGAGGTATTTTTATGATATGTATAGAAATATTGTTTTGTTTTGGGTCTTTTAATTTATTTATTTAAGGGAAAGTTGGAAGTATTTGAATTGTGTCTCATTCATTCAATTAAAGTTTTCTGAAGCTAAACCCGTGTCCCAAAAGATGTATTTAACATTTGTTTTGCATGTAGTACAAGCAGCAGTTTTAATTAACACGGGAACGTGTTTGTGAAAAATGGAAATGCAGGGGATAGGCTTCCAATGGGTGCACCTGCACTGATGATGTCTCCACAAGCAGTGAGTCCTGGGTTGGTGAGGCCAGAGTTGGTGGTTGAGAGGGATGCAAAGTACAATATTTCCTCAGAGAGTCTGAAAAGCTCAAGGTTGGAGATTTCGGAGCCAGAGATGATCAACCCCATGGCAGATTATTGGAAACAGCACGGCAAAGGGTTTGTCATTGACTTTGAGGAAACTGAGATGAAGTTGAGGGCACCTTTTCCTTGAATACTATGTAGCTGTTTGTTTCATTCTGAGTCAATAAATCAGAATTCCATAAGTATGTGGAATGTTTGGCCGTGTGTGGCTTTGCATATGTTAATGGGTTATATGGAAGTCTTTGAATTTTGTAACTACTGACATAATGTTTTTCATCTGTATTAAGACTTCAATAAGTAAAGTAAGGCGAGATCTGTTCGGGTACAATGAAATTTATTTTGTTTATTTTGATTCCCAATAGGGCGCCTGATGACCAAGTAGTCAATTTCATTCCTTAACATGATCGATGGAAATCTCATATTAATCTAGAGCCTAGGGCCGTCTTCGGATGTAATCTTTTCGATTTGAATTTCGTTCGATACATCTTTGATAAATTAAATCCTTGTATTAGTGTCTTCTCATTGTGTTTGGTCTTCTCATGATAAACTTTGGCTATCAAGGTAAATTGACACAAATATGTGATGTATACAGTTCACCAATCAACCCTTTTAACCATGAAGTCTCATTCACTATATATTTTAATTAATGCAACATATTGTACTTGTGTTGTAGACAAAATTACCAAGTCTCATTCACTATATATTTTAACTAATGCAACATAGTCTACTTGTGTTGTAGACAAAATTACGTAAAGAACACATCTTTTTCCTTTTTTTTCTTTTTTAAATATTTAAATGCAGTTGTTGTTCCTCAAAAAACTCGAGTTGAATATAAAATTATCAAATTTCTTATACTACAGACACAAACTTTATGTCAAGTCATAAAGTGATTTTCTCAATAGATAGACCTTGAATTTTTCATTTACAAACTCCTCAAGGTTTCAGGAAAACTACGTTTTTATCCATCAATTCCATTTCTTCATTTATATAACTTGCAACCAATTTTTTTTCCCATATCCGTAGCTTCTTTAAAACTATTTTTACTTACGTTATAAATATAATATATATTAATATATTGTTAAAAAATAACTTATATAATATATATTGATATATTGTTAAAAAATATAACTATAAGTTATAGTTACACACAATACATATTATTAAATCTTATTTAAAATTAATATTAAAATTATGTATAATTATATTTCAAATAAATTTATACTTATATATTGAATCTATATTGTTAAATATCCAATAATAATTAACCAATAAAAATAACAAATATTTTAAAAAATTAAAATAATATATAATTATAATTTGTGTTATTCAAAATGATGACTAGTAAAGTGTTTATAGGTGTCTTTTTAAGTTTGACATCAAATTTTAGGACTTAATCTTGGACAAGTTATGGAAACTACCATATTTTCCTTATGAAGCGGTGAAATGCATAAAGATTGAAAGAACACCAATTACGAAAAGACTCTATTGAGTTGACACTTACTACACTAAGCTAGGAGAGTGAATTAGTTTAGATGCTCCAATAATCCTAGCAATAGATGATGAATACTGGGCGTTGCGCGTATATCATTTATATTTCAAATAAATTTATACTTATATATTGAATCTATATTGTTAAATATCCAATAATAATTAACCAATAAAAATAACAAATATTTTAAAAAATTAAAATAATATATAATTATAATTTGTGTTATTCAAAATGATGACTAGTAAAGTGTTTATAGGTGTCTTTTTAAGTTTGACATCAAATTTTAGGACTTAATCTTGGACAAGTTATGGAAACTACCATATTTTCCTTATGAAGCGGTGAAATGCATAAAGATTGAAAGAACACCAATTACGAAAAGACTCTATTGAGTTGACACTTACTACACTAAGCTAGGAGAGTGAATTAGTTTAGATGCTCCAATAATCCTAGCAATAGATGATGAATACTGGGCGTTGCGCGTATATCATTGTGCAATGATGTACCTAATGCATTAATTAATATCTCGCATTATAACTTTCTAAATTTCAATTTCAAATTTTTCTCTTTATGAATAAGATTTTATTTTTGTAAATCAAACTAATATAAATTATATTTAATTACATTATGGAATGTAAGATAATTTTTTTTAGAAATAATATTAGCATTTTATTGGATTTCAATTTTTTTTTTTAGTTTCAAAAATAATTATATATGGAGAGAGAGATATATTATGAAACAGTTTAATATAATATAAATATATGTAAATTATTATTATTATTATTATTATATTATAATACAGTTTATAAAATAGATAATATGATATAAATAATATATATATAGTTGTAAATATATAATATAATATAATGTAATATTGAATTATTAATTATGAAGTGAAGCTGTGTAGAAGAGATAACATCTTTATCTAAAACAGGAAGTTGACATAAAAGGAGGGCTGTAATTATTAAAGGAATCTATTGAAATCGGATTAGTCAGCTATAATGTAATTAAACTCATAGGAATTTCTGTTAAATTGGAACTAGTGTAATAAAAAAAAAAAATTCAAGCATTTTGTGACTATAAATAGGAGTCACCCTCTCACGCAATGAGAGGAAAGAAAACTTGTAAGTTCACAAATTTCATCAAGAGAGAGTCTATTACAAAGTTTTACACAAGTATATTTGTTATTTTGTGACAAGTTAATAATCTATTTCATCACACTTCTCTTATTGTTAAAATTTTTAAGATAAAAGGAGGAAACATTTATTTTAAAAGATAAATATAATTATAGTTGTTTGGTAGGATATCCTTAAATCCATCTTTTTTTTCTTCTATTAGATAATGTTAATATATTAATTATTTAACTGTTTTTACTTCTTTTAACATCTTATAAGTGTTGTTATGTATTCTTTAATTTCATTTAACACGTTAAATCTTGTTTACAAATGCTTTATTTTAAAATTTTGTTTCTAATTATATAAATGGATAACAAGTTTATTTAAATGATTGTTATAAATAATACTATAATATAATAATCGCATATATTATATTTTCGTTACTTATTTATAGTGATAAAAATTTATTTATTTATTTATTTCGGTAACCTACATAGTATTATATTATATATATA